CTCTCCCTCAGGGCTTTCAAGTGAGCAAGAAGGCTGTGAGCCTCCAGATGGGAAAGAGGTGTCCGCTATCATATTCTCTCCAGTAGAGCTTATGCGTGGCCATTAGAGTCCTTAATGATTTTTAAGAGTGTAAAAGTAAATGTTTGAGAGCACTACACAGAATTGCCTGTCAACTGTTATTTGTCCTTCAAATTGAAGAGGATCAATGACATCATGAGGTGACGTCTTAACTCATGTGTGAAATGGATTTAAGTGAGGCAGAGTTGCGTGAAGTTGTCAGCCACGCTATCTTTTTGAGAGTCATTGAGGTCCAGTGACAAGACAAAAGTCAAGACAACTGATGATGGCCCAGGGAGGAAGTGGATGACTTTGGAGTCTTCAATGTCTGACCAAGCTCTAAGCACTCCACCATTCCTGCTTCAGCTGCTTTCATGGTATTGGAACAAATTGTTCTCATCTGTCCATTCCACCAGGGAAGATAGACATCCGTTTAGCTCACTGCCAGGTTTGAGGTCTGTCGGTCATCCTCAACCTGTTTTAGCCTATCTGCCAAGTCATTTTTACTGGGGTGGGACTACTGCCCATACTACAGCTTTTTGGAGCCACAGGTAAAAGTTGGGTGAAGGTGGACACCAAAGGTGGATGAACAGCCCTGAAAAGGGCTCAGCAGCCCTCACACAGAGGTGCTAGTCCTCTTTGAATACCCCATCCACCCCTGCGTGTTAATACTTAATCTGAAAGCCACATAGAAATATAATTTACATGAAAAATATAGTGCTGGTAACATTTTTGTCTGTCCAGTCCTGAGATAATATAGGTTTTCCATTACCTGTAAATATCAAAGGATGGTATATACTACATCTCACATCTTGTTTCCTGAAAGCTTTACATTGGAAGGCAAAAGAAGGAGTGCTGTTAATGATTTCTTTTATATTTACAGAGCTGATTATGGTACTAATTATTTCAAGCTCAATACTTAATTTTTAAAATTTAATGTCACCAAGTTCCTCTACATAGCTTATACTGCATACTTTTTTGTCCATTAAAATTATAGCGAGAAGTTGGGCTATTGCCATGGTGATAATAAATTCATTTCTTATGTATTTTGCACAAAATGAGTTTTCCCAATTTATTTTATTTTAATATCACCACTGATGCATTATTAATCTTCTCTTCACCACAATTTCATGAATTCTTTTTATCCTAGAGGGAAGACTAATTTGAAATCTGATTTTATTTTCTCTTGTATTTCATTGTCTTAGAAAAATCTATGAACCTATTACTATAGGTATTCTCTACCAGGGTAAAAGACAGTAGCAGGAAGAATATAACTTGAAAACTAAGCCTACATAAAAACATAGGTGAAAGGTGGGAAAGGGCAGCTAAGTGGCACAATGAATAGAATGCTGGGCCTGGAGTCAGAGAGATCTGAGTTCAGATCCAGTCTTAGATACTTCCTAGCTGTATGATCCTGGACATGTCATTTAACCCTGTTTGAGTTCGAGAAGGAAATGGCAAACCACTCTAATATCTTTGCCAAGAAAACCCCAAATGGGGTCAAAAAAAATTGAACACAACTTAAACTACAGCAACAAAAAGGTAGGAAAAAATAGAGGTAAAATCTAGGGTTTACCCTGGGCATGTCACTTAACCCCAATTGCCAAAAAGAAAAAAAAAATTAAGGTTTGATGTGAACAAAACTGCCTTGGCTTTAGCCAAAAGTGTAGAGCTATGTGGCTAGTGGGAGAGCTATTGATGGAATAGGTATTTGAAAGTAATGATTGGAAAAGTGTGAAGATAAGCTGTTTCTTCTACTAACAGGCCAACATGGAATGATAAAACTGAAAGGATTATTTTTTTAATATCACAGAACATAAAAAAGATGTAGTAGTATAGCATATATTATGAAAATGTTGAACATATTTTATAAAAACAAGTATTGTCACAATTACTATGTAATGAGGTTCTAAATAAACATTTCTGTTTTCCAAAATTTCCCTTATTAAAGAAGAGTGGGAGAACCTGAAAAATAACCTTTCTTTTCTCACAGGCTTTATGACAGACTTGGGTGTGTTTCTTTCTAAAGGTGAGGAAATAGGTCAGACTCCTGTGATTAATACTGCTTTGTTTTTCATTTCTTAAGGCTCTGCTGAAGATTCTTTCTTCAGTTTCCATTTATAATAAGAAAAGTGCTCTCACTCCAGAAACTTTGTAGAATGTAACAATTCTAAAAGCATAAATAGTAAGAGGGAAAGTAAATTCTGATTTCTTGTAAAGTTATTAAAAAAAACCAAACTAGTGCCTCTGCTCTATTTTCATAGTATACAAATCATTGAATGTTTCAAGTAGTCAAGCAGTCAACATGTATTAATTAAGCAGCTTTTTCTATGTGCCAAATACCCTGCTTTACCCCAGGGATATAAGTAAATAGGATGAAACAATTCTTACTCCCAAGAGATTTCTCTGTCTCTCTTTCTCTCTCTCTTTTTCTCTCTCTCTCTCAATATGGAGATAGAAGACAGATATAGATCTCCTTAAATATAGAAAGACATCTCTCTATATAGAAAAATATAGAGAATGTTCTCTATAGATATAGATCTCTCTATATAGATGGGTATCTACACACACACACACACACATACATACACACGTGGACAGAGAAAGAGTGAATAAGAGAGAGAAAATATAAAGATAATACAAAAACTTACAACTAGTTAACTACAAGGTGGTTCAAGAGAGAAGGCACTGACAGAGTTGGGTTAATCAGGAAAGGCTTCAAGTAGAAGGTGGAGCTTGAATGGCATCTTGAAGGAAGACAGAGATTCTCTGAAGAGGAGATCATTCCAGACAGGAAGGATGGCCATGCCAAGGTATTGGAGTGAGTTGTAAGTGAGGAACAGAGAGAAGGCCAGTTTGGTTGGAACTCAGAGTGCAGGAAGAAGAATAATGTCCATGGAAGCTGAAAAGATAGGCTGAAATTATATAAAGCTTTAAAAGCTAAACTGAAGAGTTATATTTGATCCTAGAGGCAAGAGGAAGCCACTGCAGTTGATTGAGGAGGGAAGTCATATGATCAGATCTGAGTTTAAGGAAAATTTCTTTGGCATCAATGTATGGGATGGAATGGAGTGGTAAGAGATTTAAGGCATGTAGACCAATTAGGAGGCTCTTGCTATAATTTAGGTGAGAAATGATTAAAGCCTGAACTAAGGTGGGATGAAATGAAAAGAATAGCATTTATATAGTCTTTACTATGTGCCAGGCACTGTACTAAGTGCTTTTTACAAATATTATCTTATTTGACCCTCATGAAATCCCTATTTTACAGTTAAGAAGACAGGGAAACAGAATTTAAGTGACTTGTCTAGGGTCACACAACTGGTAAGTATTTGAGGCTGGCTTTGAATTCAGGTCTTCCTGACTCTAGGCCCAGAGCTTGAAATGAGTAGGGAAGGAGTCAGTAGATAGGGAGAAATTGAAGATCTGAGAGAGAGGGAAGAGGGAGGAGATTAGCATTAATCATTTAGTCAAGAGACTTTTATTCTTCACCTCTTATACCTATTTTTTTTTTGGCTAGGCAATGGGGTTAAGTGACTTGCCCAAGGTCACACAGCTAGTAAGTGTTAAGTGTCTGAGGTCGGATTTGAACTCAGGTCCTCCTGACTCCAGGGCTGATGCTGTATCCACTGTGCCACCTGGCTGCCCCCTCTTATACCTATTTTAAATTCAGATTCTGGGTGAATGTTAAATTTATATAAATAAGTAAACGTATGTATGTACATAAATGTATATGTATTATATATATATATATGTATATATATGCCTAACTATAACACTGTAAATGAAAAGAACTACAACAGCATCAACAGAGAGAGAGAGAGAAGGAGAGAGAGAGAAAGAGAGAGAGACTGTAGTATAATTATAATGACCATCTTGTTCCCAAAAAAGGAAAGCAGCAAATACACCTCCTCCCTTCTTTGAAGAGATGGAGAACTGTACGTATGAAGCCATTATATACATACACACACACACACACACACACACACACACACACACACGTGTAAAATCAGGCTTAGTTGATGTGTTGATTCATTTTGATGAACCGCTTTTTTCTTACTTTCTTGTTGGAGGGGAATGTCTCTAAGTATAGGGGAGAGGGAAAGGTTATTACTAAGGAAATGAAAATGATGCAAAAATTATATATACATGTATGCCAATATATTCTTATCATAGGTCTAAATACTACAGTTCAGATAATTGTCCATTGTGGTGTGATGAGTCTCAGAAAATTCAGGACTAGCCTGTGAAAGTATTAAATATAGGTTTTCTTTTTCCATGTCCTTCCTATAATACAGGTGGTAATGGACAGTAAAATGGAATAGACTTCTTTAGAAATTTATTGTTATCTTTTTTCTATCACTTTTATTTCCCAAAATATTCCTCCTTCACTTCTGTACCACATAGGAAGCAATCCTTTATAGCAAAGAATTTAAAAAGGAAAGAGAAAAATGGTTCATCAAAATTAACCAACACATCAAACAAATCTGATAGTATATACCGTGTTCTACACCCACGCTCTCCTTCCTGGGATTATAATTATACAACATTCAGTTTTGAATATTTTTTCTTGGTTCTTTCTATTTACATTGTACTATAGTTCGTTTAGCCATTCCCTAGTTAGTGCTCATTTACTGTTTCTACCTTTTTACTACCACAAAAAGCACTACTGTGAAAAAACATTTTGGTGTATATGGGACTTGTGAAAAGGTTTCTAATAACTCCTCCATTACTTCCCAGAGTAGGATAATTTCATAATAATTTTCTTAAGCAGAATGTCCTAGCAAAATTAATTATGTATGCAGGCACTTCTCACCTTTAGATGACTAGTATCATTTAAAATACTCCACAATAATTCTATGAAGTCACTAGTTATCATCAAGAATTCTGTCCTAGAACATTTTATCACAATAGTGGCAACATTCTGTTCTCACTTGGTTATCCTTGACATTATATTTTGTACTTCTAGTTCAAGAATTTGAACTTTACAGATACTGTGTTAATCTCTATTGTAAGGTAAGTGAATGATCAATTCACCATAACTGAGAGGTCAAGTACTCCTACGTTTGGATCATTCAAATCTCTTCTCCCACATGCTTCAGACAACTTTATTCCCATTTTACTGTCCATTACCACCTGTATTATAGGAAGGATATGGAAAAAGAAAACCTATATTTAATACTTTCACAGGCTAGTCCTGAATTTTCTGAGACTCATCACACCACAATGGACAATTATCTGAACTGTAGTATTTAGACCTATGATAAGAATATATTGGCATACATGTATATATAATTTTTGCATCATCTTCATTTCCTTAGTAATAACCTTTCCCTCTCCCCTATACTTAGAGACATTCCCCTCCAACAAGAAAGTAAGAAAAAAGCGGTTCATCAAAATGAATCAACACATCAACTAAGCCTGATTTTACACGTGTGTGTGTGTGTGTGTGTGTGTGTGTGTGTGTATGTATATAATGGTTTCATACGTACAGTTCTCCATCTCTTCAAAGAAGGGAGGAGGTGTATTTGCTGCTTTCCTTTTTTGGGAACAAGATGGTCATTATAATTATACTACAGTCTCTCTCTCACTCTCTCTCTCTCTCTCTCTCTCTCTCTCTCGATGCTGTTGTAGTTCTTTTCATTTACAGTGTTATAGTTAGGCATATAGTGTTTTCCTGGTTCTGCTTACTTTACTTTGTATCAGTTCATATGAGTCTTTCTATGATTCCCTGTATTCTTCCTCTTCATCATTTCTTACATGCAATTATTCCAATTATATTCATGCATTACAATTTGTTTAGCCATTATCCAATCAATGGGCCTCTGCTTTTTTTTTTTATAATGGTTCTCTGCTTCTATAAAAATTGCTACTATAAATACTTTGGAATATAGTTAACCTTTCTTTGATCTCTTTGGGATATATGCCTAACAGTGGGATCTCTAGATCAAAAGGTATGAGTATTTTAGTCACTCTCTTATAATTCCAAATTGCTGTTTGGAATGGTTGGCTCATATCATAGTTCCATCAATAATGAATGAGTGGGTCTATCTCTCTTTAGTTCCTCCATTATTGACTATTCCCATATTTTGTCATCTTTGCCAATTTGCTGGGTATGACATGGAACTTAGGGTACTTTTGATGTGCATTTCTCTTATTAGTGATAGGATTGTTTTTTCATATTGTTGTCAGTAGTTTGCTATTCTTCTTTTGAAAACTGTTTGTTCTGATCTTTTGACCACTTTTCCATTGGGGAATGGCAAAAATACTTTCTGGTTTTTGGTTTTTTTTTCCTGTGTTAATGTAGTCTAGTGCAGTAGCGCCAAATTCAAATATAAATGGGACCTCTAAAGCACACATAAGGATCCTGTGAAACATACTGAATTAGGTAACCACATGTTAACATAACTATGCTCTATTGTAGTTTTGTTAGATTTCCCAATTACATTTTAATCTGTATGCTAGAGCATTTTGGGCTGTAAAGTGTCCTGTGGGCCACATGTTTTATACTACTGGTCTAATATATTATACCATTAATATACAAATTTATACACTTGAACTATAAGGTTAAGGAAAAATTTGCATAAGCAATATGACTTAGTGAGCTTCAGTAACTTAAGCCAAGGTTGTTGTCTTACTATTTTAAGTATAATGTTATGCCCAGGAAGTGCTGTTTATTGCTATGTTTAATTTTATTGAGTCAAATACTTTTTTGAAATAACAATAATGATAATAACTGACATTTATTTAAACAGTGCTTTTAAGCTTACAAAGTGCAGTACAAACATTATTTCATTTTCACATTACAACAATTCTTTGAGGCACGTACTATAAGAATCATTATCTTCATTTTAGAGAAGGAATACTGAAGCTAAAGTCAAATCAAGAAGTTTTAAGCACTTACTATATGCCCAACATGATACTAAGGAATAAGTATACAAATACAATCCCTTAACGAGCTTATAGTCTAATGAGGGAAGAGAGCCCGTAAAAGGAAGTTGAAAAGGGGTGGAACAGGGGGAGGAAAGGTGGGTGGACATGGTGGTGAAAGAAATCCAGAGAGTTTGGAGAGGTGCCCCACCAAGAAAGCACTGGGGACAGCCAGGGGAAAGGCACAGAGATGAGGGATGGAGTGCTAAGAATGAACAGCAGTAGCAAGACTGCTAGTTCAATATGCTTTTAGCTCATATTGAACTAGGAGTCCAATAAAATGTCAAATTTTTTTTTATGTGAACTTCAGTCTAACTATGCCTCCCACATCTTGTACTTGTGGCACTGATTTTTTTTTTTAACCCAAGTAAGATTCTACATTCATTTCTATTGAATTCTATCTTCCTAGATTCAGCCCCATGCTCTAGTTTATCAAGAACTTTTTGGATCCTGACTCTGTCTTTTGGTATGTAAGCTATCCTTCCCAACTCTGTCATCTGAAAATTTGATAAGCATACCAACTATGCCTTTATCCAAAGGAAGTCTCTAAAAATACTAAATAGCATAGAAACAAGCATAGATACTTGGAAGGGTAAAATGGCACGTTAAAAGATAAAACCAAGATTTCACTGAGAGACATAGCCACTATTAATAAGTAATAGTGCATCTATACTCTGCCCTAATTAGACCATTTCTGGCTCATTGTGTTCAGTTCTGGGTACCACATTTACAAGGATGTTGATCAACTAGAGAACTCTCAGAAGACAACCAGGATGGTAAAGATCATTGAGTCTTTGTCATACGAATATTTGTGAAGGAACTGGGGATATTTAATCTGAATAAGAGTCGGTAGGCACATGATAGCCATCTTCAAGCATTTGAAGGGGCTGTCAGTAGAAGAAATACTAGACTTACTCTCTTCAGCCTCGAGGCAAAAGCAGAAGCAATGGGCAGAAGCCACAAAAAGGGAAATGTAGACCTGATGTCAAGAAAAACTTATTAATGATTAGAGCTGTCTAAGAGTGGAATGGGCTACTTCAGGAGACTCCTTTATTGGAAGTCTTCAATCAAGAGCCTATACACTATTTGTTAGGTACATTAACAGGGGGGATTCTTTTTGGTTGCAAGTTAGAGTCATTAGCTGCTGAGTTCCCTCCCAGCTCTGAAATTCCATTATTCTGGTCTTTCACATTGGGACAAAGGCAGATGCTTCCAGAGTAGGGAGGCTGCAGCTCCCTGAATCTGGGAATTGACGGATACCTACAAACTAAGGTGGCCCAGCGACCTCCTTACAATGGAGCTAGGATTAACACTTCCAAAACAAGACTAGGAAAGGACAGAAAAGTGATGCAACTAGGAATGTCACAAGGAAAACTCATCATGCCATGGCAGAAAGGATGGCATGATAGTGTAAGATGTCAGGGTTTATACTTCAAGGAAACAGTTTACTATACTAACAAATTACTATATCAGGGTTGCTCAGATGTTCTATAGGGAAGGAAACAGTGCTGCTCAGGTGGGTTTAGTTGATTTTCAACCCCTAAGGTGATAAAGAAGTATCAATCACTAAACTAGAAGTTACTAGCCTAGAAGCTTTCCAGTATAGAAGGTCCAGATAGAGAGGGGTCCTAGAAAAGGACAGAGCATTAATAAGAGGATATCAGGCAAGAGAAGAGGACATGACTGGGCAATAGTCTGGGTAATAGCATAGAGAAAGGTTAGGCTAGAAAAACCGTAAGTTTTTCTCTTTGAGAATATTAGATGTTAGCATAACAATACAACTGTACAACAATGTAAGATTTCTCTACAACAATATAAAATAAGAGCAAAAAGGTTAAGGCTTCCCTATTATTTATGGTGAGATTAGAATGTTCTAGAAATGTTGGCATGCCTCCTGTATTTCACATTTATTTTTGTCATCTTTAAAATTTGATCTATAAATACTCTTGGTATGATCTGACTCAGTTGTCCCTCTTTACAACTTTCTGAAGCTCATTCACCTCTCCATTGTTTTTCACTCTTTTGTGAAAGATACTGCTCATAAACTTGTCATCCTCCATCCTAATGATTTATAAATGACCTTGTATTCAAAACTGATATTTCTTGCATGTTTCTTCACTTGGCAAGGAGATTGGCTGCTAGATAAGGTGATTCCTGAGCTCTTTTGGCTTTCTCATTGTAGTAATTATTTACATTAGTTAAAATATTCTAAGAAAATGGTGATATTCAGGATCATTGTGTTTAGTTTTATCCATTTTGTAAACAGCTTATTTAGATAGGTCAGATTGAAGTTACTGGATTGCGTATAGGGCCTTCTCATCCTTATCCATTCTTCTAATTTGGTATTGATTTTTATCTTTATTCTAACAAACCAATTTGATTGTCCAGAAGGGTGATTTCAAAATGAAAACCCCACCCCTATAAACACACACACACACACACACACACACACACACACACACACACACACTGTTTTCTGTCCGATAAGGTATTGCAACATTGTCTAAATATTGTCCAGGCATGTGTAACTTATGAATGTATGGGTTTATTCAGGAAATAGTAGACTAGTTTGACTGGAAGTTAGAGTGTGGGAAAGGAACTAAGGAGGTAGGCTGAAACCAGTTTATAAAGAACCTAAATACCAAGCTAAGAAGTTCATATTTTATTCTTCAGGAAATCAGAACACATTGATGAGTTGTTTTTTTAAAGGAGCATGACTGTCAATCTTGTACCGAAAAATAATTATTTTGGCAACCCCATAAAATAATAATTGGATAGAGGAGAGTCTGGAGACAGGGAGGCCAATTAGGAGATTTCTAGTAGTGTTGAGGGGCTATAGTAACTGTGTGAGTGGAGAGAGTGGAATAGGTGTCATAGGGATAAAATTACCAGGACTTGGAAATTGTTTGGATAGGATGATCAACCTGACCCTCCTCCTAATACCCTTATCTCTCTTTAGGACATAGGAATTTCTAAGTCACATAAATCTACATATCTTGAAAGTATGACCTCCCCGTTTTCCTTTCCTATCCAAACAGTTTGGTGTTCCCTTTAGGTATTTAGATACTATTCCATCCAGTGCATAT